ATTTATATTGAGGCATGACTTATATTGATATGAAATTGTTTCTCTCATTCAAATTAAAAATTCGAATAAAYTTGTTAAGTCTTAAAGCAATGAAAATTTATTTGTGCGTCATTTTCTAAATTCCAATCTTCCTATACATTGACATATATTTCGCTAAATAGATATTTCGTCATTAAACAATGGGATAGCTGCACTCGGTGGCAATTCCGCAGAAGTTCTTGCCACGTGGCAAGCGGAAGTAGCCGTCTTCTCCCCAGATCTTGTCCCACGAGTTCTTGACAATCCAAAAGTCCTGTCCATTTTCAGAGCCGTAGCCAACGACCAGTACGGAGTGATTCACCTCGCCATTGTTGCATTCCTCATCCGCGTAAATGCCTCTCTTGTACAGCAGCAAACTCTCCAGGCCATACACCGAACAAGCCAATGGGCCCTGAGTTGCAATCACCGTTTTCATGGCWTGTTCGTCCTTGGGTGGGATGACTGCAAATCCGGTGATTTGTGCACCCGACAAGCTGCTTGTGTACTTGCACGTGTCCTTCTTATCCACGTAGGGATATTTGCTGCCAACGGCAATGCCATCCTGTTCTTTTACAAAGTTGAAGGCATACTCCTGGTAGCCGCCGTCGCAGCCATCTAGACCCAGATCCCTTGGTCCACAATCGACTAGGTTTTGCTCCGACAGATTTGGCAGTTTACCCGTTTTCCGGAACACATGACCCTCGATAGCGCCTGTGGCGGCAAACGACCAGCAKGARCCACAGTCGCCCTGAAATTTRACGGGCGTAACACCGCCCTTCTCACGCCAATCAAAGGAGTCAGGCAGCTTTTCATTGGCTGCCAGGTTGGGTGCCAGACGATGCGCCTTGGCTTTTTGCCTGCAATCCAGGGGAGAAGAAGAAGACATCACAGTTGAGCACATAATTAGTTTTTGCTATTATATGTCAAGAGAGTTGACTTTGATTAGTTTGCTCACTTACTCGCCGGACGATGACTTCCTTAAGCCAGTCAACTGCTTGAGGAACTCAGCATTCGTTAGATCAGCAAATGCATTCACAGCCAGCTCATAGGTCTTAGCTCCTCCCTTGAAGGCCGCATTGGTGGCATCAACCAAGTTCTTTCGTGCACCAAAGATGCGCTCTCTCAACTGGCGATCAGCTGCCGAGGCATAGGTTTTGCCAGATTGCGCCTTTGGAATACATATTTCATGTTGTTTATCCTCAATTCATTTTGATTTGCTCAAAAGAACTTACCAAAAAATCACCAAAATTTTTTACATCTGTAAGTGCAGGTGGTGAAGGCAATGTGCTAACAAGTTGTGAGACCTTTTGATGCAGTTTGTTGGCAGCATTTCCCAGATTAGCACCAAAGTGTCCACCAAAGCCGCCGAACTGAGCAGAGGCAACGGCCACAAACAGGGTGAGAATAAGCAACTGCCTCATTATGATCTGTAAGCATGAGAGAAACATTTAAATAGTTTCCATGTATGGTTATTTTTGGTCAACTCAGTTAGAGTGAGTTTAAATCTAGAAGTTGTCTATGCACAAAGAAAACGTTGGGAGATTGACTCTGAGATATTATCTAAGTTTTTAGAAAACTAATTAATTTATGATAATTATTTAATAGTATTTAGAACTTCGCATTGAGAATTGTTGCCAGGCATCGTCAAATGCATTTTATAAGCTTTTAATTTTCATCAAGTTTTTTCCAGCTCATTAGCCGGCTTCAGGTTTGACTTAATGAAACAAAATTAAACGTAAATCTTCATCAATGTGTATTTATTATTATTGCAGTTGCTTAATAATTTTCACTTGAGCGATGATTAGACGATGCTGTAAAACCGGAAAACCTTGCACCTCATCAGATCGAGGAGATTACAATTAAACAAAAAAAAA